AGGAAAAATGGTGAGACGGCAGAGCTAAGGAAGGACAAAAGCAAGGACCATACCGGTATAGCGCCTTGTCTTGTCCCGAACCGTAATCCCCACCAGGGAAAGTGTAACAAAAGGGCGGAAGAAGGAAGCGTTACCGTGTAACCACCCTCCGGAAAACCATGCGGCTGAAAAGAAAATCCCCCGTTGAGAAATGTACGGTAGAAGGGGAACGGAGGTTTTTCAGGTACAATGTCAAGTAAGAAAACAAGCTCGACCCAATCATATACGGTGACATTTTGGCCGCCGACCGGCTAACCTACCAAGCAAAAAATGTGGTGAAGCGGTGAGAGGAGGGAGGAAATAATAGTATTAGTTTCGGAGTGGTCCCGCCGATCATGGCACCCAATGAACGTGAAGCAAAACGAAGCACAGTACTGTACAGTACTGCACGCTGCATCAACGTATTCCCTCCCCCAGGGGAATAGCTGTTTTTTCCCCTCCTCAGCTGTTTAGGGAAAAACGAGGGATTATTGCTTGACGCGAGCGGGCAGGAACACAAGGGACATGCGAGATTGATCGTAGGCACCATCGATATGTCCATTCATGTAGGGCAGTTGACGTGGGACATATGATGTTCAGGTTGCCTTACGGTATCTCCCTCAACATCTACCATTGTTGGTAAGGCCGGAGAGCGAGGGGTGGTTAGTTTTGCATGCATGCAGTAGAGCGAAAAAGTATTGCAGCCGGGGGGCGGGTGGGGTGGGGGGGTTGTCGGTGGATAGATAGATAGGCAGACGTAGGATGAGGAAAAGCAATTGTCACTCCCTATAACGCTTCAGATTTTTTCCCCCCTCTCCCTACTGTACTGAGCGAGTACAATGCTGTGAAATTATAGGTAATGAGACCGCATGCTCTTCACCGCACCGGCGATGAACAACAGACGATACGCTTCCATCCTCGATGTAACGACAGGTTCAGCAGGGAGGTTTCCAGAACCGTGAAGGCTTGCAAGGACGGCAAGCGATGCCTTCTCCTTTCCCCTTCAAACTTTTCTCCACTCGCTCCTCCATCTCCCTCTTTTCCCAGGACCCTGACAAACAAGTCAGACTGGGGAAGGGCCTGATGTTTGCCTATCCCAGAGCGATTCGGAGTTAAGGATGGTTGGGCTCTTTTCCAATTTTAGGAACGAGGGACATATTCTTGTTCACAGTAAAGGAGTTTGTGTTCCCCTCTGTGCATCAGATCCCTTATTCCTGCGGTTGGGATAAGAAATTATGGCTGACGATAGGCCGCCAGGATAGGGATCCATGATTGTGGAGCATCAGTCTGTCGATTGGTGGGCAGCTATGAGAAGAACGGGAACGAGAATACGGGACTCTGTCTAGTAATGGCAGGGTGCCGAATGTGCAGGTCTTGTCCGGGCCAGGCTCCCAGCCGGCCGACCGACCCATTGACCGGTTAGACCATGCGCAAGAAATAGGCTGATAAACATATCGCTCTATTTCTAGCCCAGGCAGGAAGTGAAATGAATCGTATAGCCCTCTCATGTTCCTGGTATGTGTCACTCCTTCAATTCTTCCTCGCCGTGTCTCGCGAGAGCAAAACGAGAAAACCAATAGCAATTCTCATACTCTGCCAAAAACGCTTTACCAGCACACCCTTCCATCCCATCCCGGGGGGATAAAAAAATATCGCCAACCCCATGAGAAAACCACGCTCGAGACAGTACGTGTGTTGTGTGCGCGTCAGGCTTCTCGTCCTCCCCGGCACAAGCATCCTAACACAACCGACCGAGGACCCAGAGTAAAAAGAATCGACAAACAACCCAAACGATCTTCTTATACCCTCCTTACCGCCATTTCTTAGACAACCCATTCAATAACCGAAGCCGAAAAAAAACAAAAGAGAATGAAAGAGAATGAAAAATAAGGGATGCGCAGGCGACCTTGATTCGCTTGCCCCTGCCCTCCCTCGCTAGTGGGAGTAGGGAGGCGAGGAGGGAGGGAATAGGAGTTTGAATAATCTTGGACAGATCCTGAGGGGGGTAGCAACGCGCATTGCATATCCAGCTCTCCGAGTTTACATTCGGCACTGGCAACCTGTGATACGGCAAGTACAGTACTCCCTGTCTGCTGTACCGGCTCTGTACAATATTATAGCTTGCTCGTCAGCCCAGTGGGCGATATTGATACTGTGCTCTAATCCCCTCAATTCGGGTCGGGTCGGGTTTATCTGTCTAGGTGTACTTCTCCCGCCTACTCGGGCTGCTAATGCAGCGCGCCATACACGACACAACAGAACCCCACAGTGCGGGGGTGGGGGAACGAAAGGAGTAAATAATTACCCACCCTGATAACTTGGGCGTAGTACTGATCCTAAACATGCTTGAGTTACTCGAATATCTAGCAAACGGTAGGGTGATGAAGTATCTTGAGCCATAGTTACTCGAGTCACATATTTGACCTTGGGGTCGGACTCTCCTTGCCCCGCGGCAGCAGCGGCAGCAATATTTCATATCCTCATTTAATATAATGACTTCCAGAGGCTCGAGCTGTCTTACTGGTCGAATGGCTTTTCCTTTACCAGGGCTCTTGGGCGTTCTTACCACTGGGGACATTATGAGAGAGCGAGGAATGGGAATGGCTTATTGGTATGTCGGGAAGAGGCCAAATTGGGGTTTCTAGCGAATCAGGCATTTTGTATAATGGTGCGGGCTTTACGCAGAATGTGTTATGGATGAATGAAGGGTGAACAACCGTAGAGGTGGCGCCCGAGGGAAACGCGTCCGATCTGTGTATGGGGTGACGGTGGTAGAGTGCAGCGCAGTGTTCTGAAGCCCGCGAGCCGTTTAGTGAGTGAGGCTCCCACCCAAACCCACATTATTACCCAGAATATAGGTTGTTTTTGGTTGGTACAAGTACCCTTCAGGTTATTTCTTGTTTCCGCATGCATTCCCCTAAGAGAGGGATCTGGCTGTCGCAGTTGAAAGCAGCTATACATACACCCCGGATTTTTTGGACAGAGGGTGTTGAGTAAGTGACGGAGTGTACAGTACTGTACAGTACTCGAGTACAAGCACAAGGCGATCAGCACGATTCAATCTGCACTTCATTTGGCTTATCAACCAACGCCATAAGTTAATTAAATGCACTACTCTAACAGAGCCAACCACATTACACAACTACACCACATCTCACCTTCCTTCCTCTCTTTACCGTGCTTCCTCTCTTCCTAGCCTTGTGAGTCCCGTACACTTGTACAAATCACCACCCATCCTCAAGCGACCCTCCAGAATGATGGAAGGAAAAAAGGCAAGCAACCTCCTCTCCCTTGCACCCAGGCTCCAAAGCCGAGATATCATCTGCAGGCCAACCGCATCACATCCCATTACTATCGGACCGGCAGGCCAAGCCATACCCAACTTGCTCACTCGGTAACCGGACCCAAGCCTAGACTGTAACAATAATTGTAACAGTGGGGGCAGGGGGAGTTGGATCTTGAGACTGCCGAGAGTTTGATGCTACTTACCAGAACTAGGCAAGTCCAATATATGGAGGGTGATGTTGGCCTGTAAGCTTCCTTTGTTTCTTTTTTGGACACATGGTTATCGTCAGACCAAGAGGAAGCACGAGATGTGGTTAGTACTGTTCAATATTTGGTGGAAGGTGCCGGAATCTGGACGAGGGGGATAGAGAATGTAGGGGACCATCTCTATTGCATTGGGATCAGAGTTTTATGTGGGTCTACTGCAGATTTAGGGTCAGTGGTTAGGATGAAGGTAAAATGTCACGGCTCTAGATTTCTGATGACCAAGGTGGGCTTATGTGCAGGTACCGTACATATCTTCCATATACCATTCGCAGGAGAGAGGGTGGGGAGGTGGGAAAGTGAGCTTTATATCGCCCTCGTGCCCTTCTTAGGTTGTTTATTCCGGAGCGGTCTTTTAAACCGATCGCCGGACACAGGAAAGGAATTTTATCAGAAATGTTAGAGTGCTATGGCCCAGTAATTGAATGAGGATATCAGCCTATGATTTCTACCTTAGGATTGCTATCGTTCTGAGAAAGGTAGATCTAGCTAGCCAGCTTAGGGGGTTAAGGATTGTGCTTTTGTGTTATGGTGGCTCACTAAGCTCTAGATATCAGGACTCGTCAGAAGATAACCCCACGAAGGTGCTTATTCCTAGCATATCAGCCAAGCTCCTGGATAGAAAACCCTGGCTGAGGAAATATAGACCCCACAACAAAAATAGCCCCAACACATCCGACCCTCCCGCCAAAGGCAACTAGACACAGTATCATACCAACCCCCAATCGCCCTATTAAGTATCAGTATAACACAAACATGATATCCCTCCCGCTTACTGAAGATGTGTATCATACTCAAACCAACAACAAGCCGTCAGTCCACTCCCGACGACATCCTAAATCTGCAAAGATAATCCTTCACCGTCCAAACACACACACCCCTGCGACTTGCTTTGTAAAAATAAAAATAAAAAAAAAAGTGACACAAGTCGAGAACTATTTGAATTCGTTCACCATGTCGACCGGGGTCCGGATCAATCATATAGCCCCATTGCTTACGGAAGATTTGTGCGGGGAAGGTTGACATACATACTTCGGGAGAAATGATCGAAACGCCGATCTGCACGAGGCCGAAAACAGTGGGTAAAAAAAAGTTAAAAAAAAATTCAATAGTCTGGGGTATTATTATTAGGGTCGCCTGATATTCGCCACTTCTTGTCCAGCGCTTAAGTCTGGAGATATGGACATCTGTTGGTTGTGGATGCCGTGACAGCTTGGTACAGTACTGTACAAGTACGGTGCTCGTACTCCTCCTCCGGCTTCCCTTTCTTCCCATTCTCTGCCAACCGCGGGACATATCTGCACTTCGGGAAAGGCTTTGTTGGATTTTCCGAAGCTAGATATCCAAACCGAAGCAGGACCCACAGGTATATGCGCATGATTCCATCCCGGTTGTGGAAGAAAAAAAAAAAAAAAAAAAGGAAGCACCCCAGTATGATAAGACTTTTTTGAATTTTGAGCCTCTAGCCTCCATTTTGTTTTATACCGCAAGAGCCCCACTCCCGAAGGCCGAAGAAAAGAAACAAGGAGGAAAGAAAAACACGCCGCACCACGATGACCGAAATGAAGAAGATGAATAGGTTGAGGGGAAAAAAAAGGAAGGGATGATGACGAAAAAAAATTAAAAAAAATCCTCAACAGATCAAAAAGGAATCCGAAATGAATATGTTGAATAATAAATCCCCCCCTTTTTTTTTTCTGTTCTGGCTTCGTCTCCACACACCATTATTTTTTTAATTTTATTCTTTTACCCCTTCTTCCGGCTGGTTATGTACCCTTTTCCGTACTTGGGATACCTTTACTCATAATTGGGCAAACCCGCCTCGACCAACCCGATTGCGCTCCTGCACTCGACAATCCTGGTGACAACAAGGCCGGCCTTCTCGATGATATCCTTAAATTGGGCAGGCGTGCGCTCAATACCGTTGATGATGGCAGCCATGCAGAGATCACGCTGATGACTGTAGCGGGCGTGGTACCCGTAGTTTGCAGGGAGCGGGTAGGGAGCGGGATCAAGCTCCGGGCACCCGATGGTGGTGTTCATTACCTGGTCGCAGATGAGGAGGCGGGACTTGGGGACCATGCTCTCACGGATGCAGTTGAAAATTTGCACGCAGTACTCGTCAGACCAGTCGTGGCTGTGGTAGGTTGCACGAGTGATGATTAGTGAATGGGCAATTGGGTTCATTCCCCCCCCCCCCTTTCCACTCATTTCCTACGAAGGTAAAGAAGTTTTTGGAAGCTAAAAGAGGAGGGTGGGGTAGTGGGGACATACATGATGTAACGGAACCAGTAGATGTCTGCGCCCTTCACCGGATTAACTTTGAAGAAGTCGTGGCCTTGCAGAGTGACGCGGGACTCGAGTGCTTCTGGGTTCTCCTTTGCCCAGATTTGCTTAGTCTGCTCGATGACTGCCGGGCGGTCCTGAACAATGAACTTGAGGTTGGGGAAGCGCTTGGAGAGTTGGAGGGAAAAGCCACCTGCGGGTGGTCTTTCGTTAGTTCATTGTGTTCCGGGGCCCTTTCACCTCTCCCCGGAGAAAAGGTGGAGGGGCGGGAGGGGGGGGGGACAGAGTAGGCTTACCAACACCACCACCGACATCTACAATAGTTCCATTACCCAGGGACTCCCACGGATAATCTACATACAATCAGCAGTTGTGGAAAAGGAGGAATCCCTCGATGCGATACTTACCGTGAATGTGTGCAGTTCCAGTGACTTTACCACCACCCAACATAGCCAAACCGAAGATCTCAAGCTCAGGACGGGGCTTAGTCTCCGTAGAGGTTGGCACAGGGCGCTCGACCTTGGTCTCGCCGACAGCGACAACATTGCGTGGGTAGCCCTGACGGCCGAAGTCAGCGGCATCAGCGGGGATCTTCTCCTCAAGCCATTCCCACCGGGACTTCTTGGTGCCAACGGCAGGTTGCCAGGCGGTGTTGTGGACATCGTATGAGTGGCCGTTGACCGGATCGACGAGGTACTTGGGGAAGTAGTCGGAGGCACTGTACAAGTCGAGAGAGCTAAAAGGAAATGTTAATATGGGCACCGAATGATAGGTATATCAAGGGCTTACAAAAGCATGAGGTACGCTCGCAATGGCTCATTTCCGACGAGAGCACCAGTTATCTTGTTGTTTGCGAAGCAGTCTTCTTTGACTTCACGGAAGAGGTGGTTAGAGCAGAGGCAGCGCATAACACGGGCTATCATTCAATCCAATCAGCCTCCACCATTCATTGATTTCAGCAGATATACGAGAAACACTAACAGAGCTTCTTAGACTCAATCCCGATCTTAGCACTAAGGTCCTGAACCGACACGCCCTCTTTGTCATGGCTCTTCAAGATATCGGGAATGCGGTGCTCGGCAGCGATGTGAAGAGCACGGGATTCAAAGTACTGCGACGAAACCTCGAGCAGGCGGTGTTGTGGCTCGTCGATAACCTCCGTCAACATACCGGCCGCGGCCAGTATTTCACGACGGGCCTGGTAGAGCTCGTGCGAGGGGAGAGAGACACCGTCCTTGGTATCGGGAATGTCAATAGGGTTCTTGGCCCACTCGTTGATTACAATTCTCGCATTCTTCGATATGATATCGGAGAGAGCAAGGAGTTGCTCTGCGTCAACAACGGATCTCGGGGCAGCGGTGGTCATCTTGTCAGTAGCTATTTATCGCGAAGAAGGGAAGTGGAATGGGAACAGAATGGATAGATGACTGGAGAGGCGGTGAGTGCGAAATGTCGAATATTGCGGTGGGAGGAGGCTGCTTAAGAGTAAAAGTTCCAATCCGGTGACTTTGCTTTTCCCTCGTATTAACCATATCACAGCCCCCCCCACCTATCGAGAACATTACCAGACCGGTATCGTGTGTTTTGATTATTATTTCCCATTTTTCTCCGAACATGGAACATATTTGGGAATGGTTTGGCAGCTACGACCCTGACGATCACTCGGATCCGAGTAGTTACGCTAATTTTACGAGCACGGTGCTTGCACGTACCGTACGCCATGTGTTGACAATTCTCCAAACGGCAAGTGTTGTGTTCCATCGGATGCCCGACTTTCCGTTCCAACGTAGAGTCCTGGCCATCCATTGGCGACCCCGGATTACCGGTATTGCGACTTTCATCGGGTTGGGAAAAACTGGTCGAGTGGAAGGAAAGCACTACTCTCAGACATATCAACAACCAAGAAAGCCCTAAACCCAGTCTGCTGATAAACCCAACAAGATATCTTATAAAGCTGTTGGAGGGTGTCTAAGGTACCTCAGTTTCCTTTTTTTTCCCCTTCAACCCGCCTTGCCCGCACAACCTGCGGTACGAAAGCCGTATCTAACTTTACGGTATTCTCGCGATACCAGCGAAACAATTCTTTCGCCCATGCAACAGGAAAAATGATTGAGCTTTTTTTCCCGTCCCGTTTGTTGTTAGTGTTGGATACCGGTAGTCCGATTCCTGTACGGCAGGTTAGGTGGAGGAGATCCAGGTAGTTGAGACATCTCCTTGCTGCTTCGGACCAATTGTGATCTCCCCGCTACCGAGACACATAGTAGCTTTGGGCTTATCGCGAACATCTCCCTTGAAAGCGTCGGAGCGCCGACTGGACTCAGAGTCGACAAAGCGTTGGAAGGAAAGGATCCACGGTGATTCCCTTTCCACTTCTGCCGCTCATTAGCACCTGATGTAGGCGATGGTCAGGAAGGAAGGGGATACATTAAACAACTGTTGGTGAATGTTGTGCTCACATGACGGTGTAACTTCACCGCCGCCGGGGCCAACGCCAGGGCTACACTCCTCTCAGGGGGAAAAGCACAACTCGGGGGCAGGAAAAATAGCCCATTCTGACGAAGGTGGCGACTCCGCGATTGACTGATTGGATAAGGCCGCTGTTATGATACTACACATGATCTTTTTGTTCACAGGTACGGTAGCAACCCATGCATTACCGTGCTGGAGTACAGTACCGTATCATAGCGCGAAGCGGCGGCGGAAGCCTGTTATTCCCGGGGTTCGAGCACACCCTGGCTGCTGGTAACCGGCCCAAGCACCACCTCCAAACGGATTCCAACTCCCACGCCGCAACCGCACAATAGCCGGAGTACTATGCCAAGAAACTATCCTCCTACTTCAACCGCCAAAGGATTCTCAACCACCGCTCCGATGAGAATTACGTCTCCATCAAACGATGGAGTGGACGATCCCCCACACCTTGATAGAGAGAAAATAGAAATATCTCAAATTTTCATGGAGATGCTGGGGGTTTGGAAGTGGTTCAAAATTCCGGTACGAGGAATGCCCCATGTTATGCCAATTAACGTTAACTAATGTTAATTTCCTCGGCAGAACTGTTAATAGATATTTGCCGGGTATTAACCTGTACTGAGTTCATTCTTGGCAAATTGACAAACTATTACTAACTGGTGCTTGAGCGCCTACCGTACTGGTAAAATCTCGCATACAGCACCTGATCAAGCTTAGTCACGCCCTGATTCCCTTGCAATAAGTATGGGTGATCAGCCCAGAGCCTCACATCCTTGCAACAGGAGTAATAAAAAGTTGTCTCAAAGTAGGTGCCCTCTCCTGGAGCCAACAAAAGAGCATACGAATTCGTAATTTATTAAATTAATCAGCCTAGTCTTGTTCTTTACTAGTATGTGCGAGATTTTACGGTACCGGTACCCGTACCCACACCGCACTAATCTCTAACTTATCTAAGCGGTGGAGCTTTTCTTTTGATTGACTGAGACAGCCCTCAATTGAAGCGAATTCGAACGGTGTATGTTCCTCCGCAAGCTATGCCCCAGAACAATGGGCCGGTTTAATAGGGGTAGTTGTCACGGAGGTTGGTCGGGTAAACAGGGACCCTACGACTTAAGCACCCTCTCTGCATACCGTGTGAACACTTGACATTCGCATTCTCTGACTGGATTCGGTGACGAAAACCATTGAGAACGACCGTATCAGTGCCTTCCAAACACGGGATGTCCCGAGCCTTTCGGACATACCGGATCTCACTGATTGGAATTTGGGATTCCGGTAATCTGTCCAACTGACCCATGGCGGGATGCTGCGGTGGTTCCTACGATACCAACAATGCGATGGGGATACCCAGGTTATGTAGCCCCCCCTCCTTCCCCCGCTCCCCCTAATCCCTTATCGGCCTAGCGCTGACATACCCTGCATTTCCGCTGGGTTTCCCCTCATCGGGTAATATATGTTATACGGTTCCCGGGAATGCGGGGTATTGTCGGTGCAATTGCCAGTGTGATGTTTTCGTTCAGCATAGGGATTATTGTGCAAGCAACCTTAGAAACTCTGGACAATTTGAGTGAGTTGAAGGGAAGTTCCTCCCGCCGTAGACATACATCACGCCATTTTTTTAACCTGATCCAACAAGTGTCCCTGGATCGCTTGTTCGCCTCCCCGGCGGGCAGCCCGTCTCCGGAGTCTAGCGACCTCTTTCCGAATGAGTTTTTCCCCTGTGGGTGATTGTTTTTTTTTCCTTTTACCGGGCCACTCAATGACCGAATTTGTCTAAAACACGTGGCCGGGTTCACCTCCTTCGGATTGTCTACCGGGCACGCAGTTAGGGGGGATGCGTTCAGGGGAGGTGTGGTTATAGGGCATGCTGCATGGGAGTATCAGGTGCGCGGTGATTGGGAATCTTGTGGTGGATTGTTTTTTTCGCATGCTTACGCTGGGAGGCACAGGATGAGTGATAGTTATATTTACTTGGTACCCGCTGTCATCGTGCTAGTCGCCGAGCGCTAGCCTGGCTCATTGTTTCATTCTGCCCTGCATGGCATGGGGCTTTGGCATGCCCGGTATGATCACGGAGTATCCGGGGTGACTACGGCCTGTTCAACCGGTTCCTCAGTGTATACACTGAGTCCTTGTAATTACCGGACGTGTTCCGTTCATTGGTTCTCGTTCATGGAACTTCTCTACTACACAGAGGTGCTCGCTGCTCAGCGAGATATGCATCTCCCGTTCCGTCCCTAGCTAGCATCTCTCTTGATCGCCCAGTTCACCGCCACCTGCATTTATTTGCTCTTAGCCCATAGTGATTTCACTCATACCGCCTCATCCTTAACTCCTTTCTTTAGGGTTCTTCGGCAATAACCTTCCGCGGGGCAGTGTCCCGATACACCCCCACTCCCCTCCCAAGCACCTCTTCGGCCACTGGCCAACCTAACCGGGATATATTAATATCATAACGTCATACCCCTCGGGCCAGGTCCTCTCGCCCAGTGTTTTGAGGGCGTAATTACACCATCGGCCGGCATAGCATTGGTGGGCGGTTATGAAAAAAATAAAAATACCTCTCCTCCCTTCCTCCCTTCCTCAACCTCTATTCACCGCAAATTACTTTAAGTTCCCGCACTTTGCGTGAATACAAGTACATTCTTAGCAGAATTCAAGAAATAACTCACCTTTTGATTTCACTCCGCGAGATCGTTAGTTCTCGGCGGTTTCCCCGAATTGGGGGGGGCGGGGACGCTCGGAGAAGGAGGATTAGAGCGAGCTCCCGAGTTGCTTAGGATGATGGGGTTTCTCGAGTGATTAATTATGACCCGTGCCTGGCTCGACTAAATATTCCGAGTTCACATTACCACACGTACGGCACAACTTATGTTAAAAGTCCGATCTGTCGATCTGGTAAACGATCCGATGAGATAATTTCTCCCTTCTGTTCTAATTCCTGAATTACCGCCTAGCAGCAACTTGGCATGCCCGGCGAGCGGGGAGGATGGAAGAAAGAGAAAGAAAGAGGGGAGGAGGAACGGAGGGGGACAACGAGCAGGTACAGAATTAACAAGTGTTCCCTCCTTGGTTGAAATTAAAAAGGAAAGCCTCCTGATAGATCTCCACATTTCGGGAGATGGGTATTCTCAAGCTAGAGATCTTGGCCAGTGGCGAAAAGAGAAAATCCTTTCCGACTCACGCCAGGCCTCGAGTACCCCACCCTAGTAATTCCGTAATGTAAGGATTAATGCTTTCCTATGTCGGACTCCTATGAATCTGCATGCTACATTACCGACCTTCCCTCGCACTCTCGGCTTTTGTTCGCATATGCTTTGGCTCACTGTCTTAAACAGCTGGCTGGAGAGACACCAGCCGCCGGCACCTGTTAGAGTCACAAATTGCTAAAAAAAATAAAAATAAAAAGCCGCTAGAGCTCAAGACACCGTAAACCTGGCTGGAGCTCTTAGGCGCAGATACGCAGGAAAAAAAAAGGCGGCTAGGTTGAACCTTACAATTACGTCAAAATCACAGCCCTGAAAGGCTTGGTCCTGACTGTAATAGGTTAGGATATGGCGTTCCACTCGTATCGCGATATTCCGAGACAAAACAGGGATGCAAACCTTATTTGAACATACCAATGTCTAGCGGTTCTGCGCAGATTATACCATAGCATGGATACGGGTGGTTTTAGTGGTAACATCCTTCCGACCACAGAGTGGAGTAATGGATCGATCGTGATTCGACCCTAGAAATGCCCTTTAGGCGAAGCAAGGGCCTAAGTTGGGAGTCAAAGACCACATCAGTCGAACCCGTATCCACAGAAATCCGTGAACCTCGCCCGATATTCTGCAATACCTTCGGTGGAAATCTGTAACCTGGCTTAGTCGAGTGCAATTTCATGTCTCGGACACACAAGCACGGCTGTGACGGTCGAATCGCCTGGTGGCACTTTCCTGAGATTATCGACCCCGGGCCCTAGTAGCATCACCTACAGTGCACCGTCAATCAACTCTCGCTCCCGGTATTCCCGATCAAGAAATTTTAAGGCCATCCCAGGTGCAAGCTGTTGTTCCGAAGGCGCTGTGGGGATTCTAGGCTCCGACACCCTATAGTGCACGGTTGCCTATGGGGGTGGCAAAGAACACTTATGGTACTAATGCTCCCACTGTGCAGTATTGTTCTGCTCAATCAAGGGGGACAAGTGTCGGCTGATATATAAGGAGGGGACTTGTGATATAACTAACAGGAGCTGTGGTCTTCGGGATCACCTTTCAGAATTTGCGGGAGTTAGCGCTCGTCACAAGAGACAGGTGCTGGAAAACGGTGGGGCGCATTCTTCACGGGTGCTCAGATACGCGCAGATATATGCTACCATAAAATATTTCCCGATCTATAATCTCAGGTACCTGTTGCCTAGGACGAACCTACCTGAATGGCGGCCTTCATTCAAAGGCGACTTCTTCATAGGGCTTTTTCGATACTGGATTTTGGACCTGATAAGGGCCAACCCGTAGGGGAAGCCTATTCTTCCGGTGTTCTGTAACACTTCTAAAGGGGTTTGGCTTTGGAATTAGCAATTTATGGCTTCGTTGTGATTACCATAACGGAAATGATTGAAGGACTGCTTTAACGCGAGCCCCCCACCGTATAGTCGTATCCTAGCATTTGAGTAACGCATTCAGGGTGCTCTACTTTGTGTTGGGCGCTGTTGAGAAATAGTAGCCACTTGAACCTACAATACCCCACCACCACCCGAACCCTACGTGTACAGTAAGGACCGAAATTATTACCTCTCCAGCCAAGGCATCTGGTGTTTCCCGCCTCGAGTAATGCGGGGCCGCTAGGGAGAAAGGTGCTTCCGGCCATCCTCCGAGAGAGGGAAAGAGAAAGAGATGGAACAGCTCTTAGTAGGGGAAGAAACTCTAACTCCCTAGTGTGTGCTTCAATTATCCCATTCACCAGCAAATAAAAGGGAGAACTAACCTATCTTTACGAGCTTATATCTTATTACAAACATCCCGCAGCAAAGCTTAGTGGTTCCTGATTTTAATTTCTACAGAAATCCCAAAGCGCCTCTATTCCTACGATGGAGTTTTCCTATGGCTGTGGTGGCACACCCGTTTACCGAATAACGTAATATACTACGAGCACCTATGTCTCGTGACGGCAGCAAACGCGAGAAAGAAGAAAAGCCTTAACCTCCCGGAAACATCAACTGGCTTCGCTACACCTCTAGGTGCAGAACCATTGCTAGTATGTTTCCGGAGCTTAGAAAACACTTTTTCTGTTAGGCATCACGTGCTTTGGAATCGCGAGTGATCAGCAGTGAACCCGGCTAACTAGAGTTCATACCTAGCGAGGGGTTTACTGAACCATGAGCATGCCAGGACAAATGTCTAAATCTTTTTTAGTCTGGAATTCAATTTTAGATACTTATCCTTGAGCGTAATTATCTAAACTGGATGCCTTTTCTCTTGGCCTCGGGAGGGGAAGCACTATTTTGGCTTGATATAAGGGCCCTAGGGAGGTAGATTCGGAAACCCTTTGGGGATCATGAACCCACTCGCTCCGGAGGAGTTGAGGCACTTCCGGTTGGTTTGGGCGAAGGTGCCCGATGATCGTGTTGATGATCCGGGAGGTCTCATGAGTTGGCTTCGCAGTCGTGGTTCTGGTTGTGGCAGTGGTGGGGTGGATCATGTAGAATACCGGTGTGTAAATCCGCTCAGTTGATGAGCCTGCCAATCTCTCCCGAGGATTCATTGGAGAGACGTTGTTCGGCGTTGTGATCCCAGCCAATTACCGGGGAGGCATGATATTGATTACTCTCCCCGGTGAATCGCTCTCCATTAGTGGTTACCAATAGGAGAGTGCGCCCCTACGGAGGTCAGAGATCTTTGTCGCTTTGGTATAAACTTCATTTAAACCTGCAGGACAATTGCTTTAACTGCCGATACGAGGGGTGATTAGATTTTCTGTGGTTTTTAGCGTGACAACAATGTTGACGGCCCCGCGTTCTGCTACAACTTCGAGTGATGTCTTGTGCCGACCTGTATGGGATCAACTCTCCCACCAGAGACTAAATCGCCGTCTACGATTGGTAGGAGAAGCCCGGATATGCCGTAGAGGGTGACTTGCCGGGATTCTAAAAGGAATTACCATATCGGTGTAGACGTAAATCCCCATATAGTAATTCGGAGATCCTGCATATTACGCCGCAGGGAGGCGGCGTCTGCAAGTGCTGTTTTCCTAGACATGCGGCACGATATCGGAGGCTCAATCTCATCTACTACTCCTAACGATGAGACTAGCGTAATGAATGGAATAGTGATGGGACTCCCACAAATCAAAAAATCAAAATTCCCGACAAAACATTTGTGGATTCTCTGCCAGGCTTTACTGCCCTAACGCTTATCTTATCGTGTCGCAGATCCTCCCACTATCTATTGATCGGCCATGATTCTACATTCCTACGACAAGGAATTCCAGAAACACTGCCTTTTGTGTTGGAACTGCCAGTTTGGGAAATTTCGAATTAGTCTTGAGTACCACAACAGATGGCACAGGAAAATATGGGACGAAGTGCGATATGCCGAGGCGGCTCCGACCCCATGACAAACTTTTCGAGGAAAATTAGGGAGGATTTTATCCCCTTAGAGAGAGATGAGGGCCTACACTAGGAAAGCCTCTTTCCTGCCTGAAGATAGCCGATGCCGGGGGGATGACAACCCGCATCTTTCCTGAGGGTTTCATCTTAGTTCTTAGCGCGGCAAATGGGGGAAAAAGTTCAATATTTCCACTATCGGTTGGGCGCATAGCGGCAACCATCGCGTTTTCCAAAAACGAAATAAGGCGGAAATGGAGGGGAGAGGAAGCAATATGCACGGGGAAATGTGCTGCAAGAGCCTTGTGCATGTACCTCTAGTAGATCATCGGGGAACAGTCTAGTATACTTTTGGAATCTTTACTAACGGAGATTATAATGCGCTTGACCGCTCTTGGTTTGGGTCCTCCTTATAAGATGCGTCGCTCAGTGTTCCTCCAGAATTTTATAGGGCCCCCACACACTGGGGTTTGCTCCCCTTGACTTAGGCACAGGATATCTAGATGATGCCAATCGCTGGATGGTTGACGCCACGGGAAGTGGGTCAAGAAGCGCTTCGGAATGCGGGGAACTCTGAACGCTAACAACGGATACCGGGAAAGGGGCGATCCCAGGTACCTTGAGTGGTTCCTGAGGTGTTTGGAGTAATAGTGTTCATTGTAGAAGGTATCTCTTTACAAACGGACTATGTGCTTAGAGTTGATGACCTAGTCTTTAAAAAAAAAAGCAAATAAAACCAGAAACAAAAACAAAAAAAGCAAAGACAGACTTAAGGGGAAAAAAGCAAAAAGACCGGTGAATAAGTTAAGTTAAGCAAGGCATTACCCCCACTCGCCGGGAGGTGTTAAAACACCAAACACGCGGGTCTAGGTCTAAAAAGGTTTTTCGGATGGGTTACTTGAAAACCAGTAGTGACTTTCCGAACTACATCCTACCCAAGAGCATTCACCGGGGTATGCAAGGCAGCCCTCAGAGCACACCCTGGGGAACAGGGAAAGAGCGGTCAGAATCAGGATCAACCCTATAATCGTGGAGGAGGGAAAGTCGAGAAAGGTTTCAATGATCGATTACGGGATTTTTCACTTTTTCCCCCCTGAGACAAGTTTGCAGTTCCGAGACCAATCCTTACTTGGCATCGTACGCGAATTTCAGAAGTGTTTCTTCTTCTCCTCAATGCTTGGCTTCATGCCTGGTCACTCGCGGAATGCCAAAGCGGATATCCTTAAATTTATTTTTGATTCCCCTCCCGGATTTCAACAAGAGATAGTCGCCTAAACCGAGGCTCTACCGAGGCGTTTTTCTTCATATGATTTTCTCTCCTCGATTTACTCATAGTCGACGCAAGGAAATTCGATCCATTCGGGTAGAGGGATATGAGGGAATAAATGATAAAATCCGAAGCGGAAACCGGCCTTTTGGCTGGCAGGACTGGAAATCGGGACATAGATTAGCCGTCACACATCGAAATACTGGGGTGTATGGATTACTACTTATCAAGAATTTTGAGGCATATACAAAATTAGGGTTGATCGTAGACTCTCCCAAGATGGCCCCTGTGCCTTGATTAGCAATACACTTACAATATTTCCAGAATCGAATATTATTATAGTTTGCCCGGGGAAAACCCCCCCCCCCCCCCCCTAGGGATATGGGGGTCAGTTTGAGATTGAAACCCTAATTAACCCTGTCACCCACAGTCTGAAGCAGAGATCGTGGCTTGCGCTAGTCGTCTGGTGGCTTCCTCCCGGATCGACATGACAGATCAACTGCGTGACGATACCCTTGTTTTGATGTGAGAAATTAACGGGAGGGTGGTGAAGGGGGAAATAAAACCCTTTTTGAAAAGGAAAACATTCTAATTCTGAAACCCCAACGGCAATCACCAGCCTTTCTCCTCCCTTAGAGTCAGGATATGGTTGCCGCTAGGTCTCCCAAGGCGCTCTGGTAGGAAGATTAGGGTACAGGCAGGTCAGGCCTGGTACACGCAGTCCTTTTGCAAGCAGGTGGCTTCGAGGAATTCGCCCACTCCAGTTAGCCTTAGGGAATACTTTTATTTATTTTTTTACTCTGGTCCCACGCGGGTGATTAGGCAGACATAGCTGGTTTATACCTGTGCCTCTAAGCGCGCCAGACTGCCGGGAAAGAAGATAAATCTACAGTGCCGGTGGGGGTTGTACTAACACCAGGGCATCGGCCGTTAAGCTCAGCGGGCTCACCCCCGAATCCTTGGGAATAACTCATAATATAGAACCGCAACCCAGGTATCTGCCTAATATCAGTGGTGGCAGCTCGCCCCGGGTCGCGGGTTTCTGAAGTGGGAATGGGTAGAATTTCGAAGAGCCCCCAGAATGTCGCGAGTTTCTACCGCCGTCCCCCAGCATTATGTTTGGTTGAGAAGTGCATCCCTGCAGAAGGTAGGTTTGAAACCAAACCCGACCAGCCCAATGAAGTTATGGCATTCAGTTTTGGAGTGGTGCCCCTGGGCTGCTATTCGTCAAATTGCACATATTTATGAAGTCTGGATTGCCGCCATCTGACATCATGTGAGCTTCATTCCCGGAGCCAACGGGAAAATTCTGCGGAGTGCATGTAATAGTCATCTAGAAAAGTTCGGAATCATCTGGGAGATTTTTGTGACCCGGGTGTTTTCTTTTTTTCCTCTTTTCCACCGGCAACCCGCCACGCGTGGGGGGGCTAGGTTGTGGGGTGCATTGCCAGACTGAACTTAGCTAAATTTACTGTACAGGCAGTTCAAAAACAAAAACAAAGGTTATATCAAGACAAAGACCCTCCAGACACAAACCCTGATCTTCATCAATCTAAACAAATGAGAAAAGGGGGCGATGCTAGTCGCAATGAGATAATACTTGAACGAGGAACCGACAGATACAAACGGAAATAAAAAGAAAAAAAGAAGGTAAAACCCAAGAATAAAACGCCGTCCAACGCCCATGCGCCCGGATGTCAAAGTATCAAGTGCCCGAGAGATCAACCGAGATGAATCGCAATGCTTACGCCCTCCTCCCGTCCAATATGATTGACAATACTATTAACGGTTTCCGGGACCTCGCTGTTGATCATGACAGTAATCACACGGGAGCCCGTATTATCGCTCATATCCTGACCCGCATTTGACGGACGGGGGGTTCTATTCCTGCGGGAGTCCATACACCCGCTGCTCCCCATGGTTCCCTGGTCTATGGATACCGGCCTCGCAACCATTCTTTCAGGATGCTTAGCAGCAAACTGTATGAGATCCCCTTGACTAAGTGAAGTTGTGAGATGTAAGTCATTGAAGAACAAGGACATATCCTCGCTTTGCCCGGACGGTGTGGTAACCGGGAAGCTAGCCTCTGACCCGGCGTTACCACTCGTGACCAGGCCCGACCAGTCGGCCGGTGAAAGAGCTGGGCAGTCGGAAGATGGGGGTGTATAACTCGAGATGCTGGGTGTACCCTTCTGACTCAACAACGGACTTTCAAACGCAACCGGCTGCTGCTCCTGCTTTGCGTTGCTAGGATTAGTGTTGCCGCTGCTTCCACCCTTATCGGGATTCCTGGGTTGACAACCAGGCTCGAATAGAACGTTTAGTGAGCCACCTGTCCCCCCAGATAAAGAGTTTCTGTATGCATGCGATCGCGAGTGCTCCTCCTCCCGCTTCATCCCCATATTTGCTGGATCCTGGCGAAACTGGGGAGCGGGTATCTTGCTAGCTTCCAGCGTGTCCGCTTGGGATTGGGATTTTTGCGAAGATTTTTGGTTTGCCTTTTTGGATCCTCCGGATTGGGACTGCTTGTTCTTGGGTTCCATCTTCCTGATTAGCAGCGAGTACCTATATTTTTCCCAACATCGAGAATGAAAACTATTAGCCCCTAGCCCTACACGTGTAGTATGCATGAACGCATGTGCATATGTATGAACGAATGTGTGCATATCCAATCCAACATAATTTTTTTTACGCATAAGTATCTTATCTCTCCAACGGAACCCATTTGCGTAATGAGGCGAAAGGAAAAAGAAAACAATAAAAGAAGTTTAGGACACTGATCGGGGATTTCGGAGATAGTACCTGTTTTTGGCCGACAGACTCGTCCGGCGAGGAAAGTAAGCTTTAACTATTGCCTTCCAGTTTCTCCCATGCTTCTCGATAGCTTCCAATAGCCGAACATCCTAGTTACCGAGAACATATGTTAGAGGATTTGGGCGTAAATTTCCCACACCCTTGGTGGGGTCCGCATGTGGGCCGAATGGACATACCTCTTCCGGGGTCCACGGGCTATGATCGATACTTGGGTCCAATGCATCGTACCAACGTTTGGAACATTCTGCCGGCTCAAGCGAATTAGACAACGGACAAAAATTTGGAACCCTTGATGGTGAGATATGGGAAGGAATAAACACGGGGAAGAGTTAGGAGAGCGGAAATGAGGATGAATGGATAAACTCACGGTCGCCATTTCTGGTTTTGACAACCTGTTATGTTGCGACGACACATGTTAGTTCGGATCATGACGGGCTCTACCTAGCCAAAGTTGACTTGAAAGTGATAGAAAGGCTTTTGTTAATTACCTGTGCTACTAATGCCCAACTGCATATCGTCAGTTTCCATGATACTTTAGTTTTTTTGTGAAATTACAAAAACACGCGAAGACAGGATAGATAAATACCGGCTTCCATGCTCCTGGACAGCAGCCCATAACCTCTCGTCCTCTGCAACTTCCCAGGGTCCTTTATTTACTGTCGCAGCTACTTTATAGTGCCACCTCTTCCTGCAATCTTTGTTTGTTCGGCCAGGAATACAGGAAGCAATGAGATGCCAGTCACAAGCTCCTTCCCCGCCTATCGATCGCTATGTTAATTATTTGCAAAACACCACCAAAGCCCCCAAGCAAAAACAACAGGATTCTTACCTTTCAATACTGCGTCACGAAGTATAGCATCTTCACTCTCGGTCCACTTTCTTCTTTCTCTAGGCATGGTGGTATATAGTCAAGGTAACTGTGAGAGAGAGCTAAGCTAAGGTAGGAGGGGCGTAGTGCCGAGTATGATGAGGTAACTAGTGAAGAAAGCAAAGAAGTTCAAGATCTTCGAACAAGCAAGTGAACTGAGAATCGGAACTGGAATCTGAGGGATGATATAGGAATATTGCGATGGCTCCAGGAATACAGGGACAACTTTCTATTCACCGGAGGCCGATTCCAGAGGGGTTTAAAAGGGTTATGTGGAGGAATGGGAAAAAGGAAAACGGAAGGAAAAAGAAAGGATGATGCTCGGAACAGGGACTTTAAAAAAAAAGAATTTTTACCACCAGTAGCTAGGTTGTGGGTGAGAGAGAGAGAGTACTCGTACAGTCTAATTTGTATGTAAGTGAGCGAGTGGGGTAATGGAGCTCCAATGCTTTCCCGGGGAGTGGGAGAAAATATACAGCTGCCCGCGTTTCAATATAGTAAAGGCAGTGCAGCAGCACATCACTAAACTGGGGAATAAAAAATCAGAAACCTTCACCGCGAGTGGGGGGGGCGGTGGTGGTGGGTAAGAGAGAAATCGAATATCGGTGGCCGGGCTTCATCGCCACGTCTGCACGTGTGTCGCATGCTGTGATACGAGACTCTCAAATGCGTATGTCTAAGGTCCTTTTTCACCCTCAGTCATGAGAAACGAAAAATCCTCTAGTACCGTACTTTTCGGGCAGAATTCTCTTCTCGTAGGATGCCCGCTATCCTATTACATGAGGAGATTTCCTTGGACATGTTTGCCACTCACGGCTCGGTTAAGTCCAAAAGATCAGAAGATGGGGTGCAATAACTTGTGCGTTTGGATTAAGCAGGTATCTTTTGATTTAATCCCTACTTCGACTCGTGCACCGTATCCTCCCTGCCGGCGAAACTAGACGAGCCCCTGGTTGGGATGAAATGTAAGGAATTCCCTTGTCTGTCAGATCGGGGAGGGTTTTCATCAATTCAGGTACTCGGTTTCTCAATCCGCCCAGTGCGTAACGTTCCTCAATAGCAGACTAGATAATCATAATACAACTAACCGCTTACACCAACGGCAGTAGCTTATGTGTACAAGTAACTCACGTAAATTACTAGTAACCCAACGGTTCCAGAGCCGGCTATGATACATCAAAAGCCTTCCCCATTACATACTATCCCCCGGATTACCACACCTGGAATAAAATCCATGCATAAGGTGTCCCCTGATAGGTAGAAACCAGCTAGCGCGTTTGGAAACCCTTAAGCCTAAAGAAAGCCCAATTATGCTGACAGCTCGGAGGTTCGTTCAATCTTTAGAGAAAGGAATGAGAACGAAGATTTCACCTTTCTCCAGGCAAGACAATGCATTCAAAAAAAAAAAGGATCAAAGAACTATCTACTAAAAAATCACCTACCTAAACTCCAATTGAAAATACACTCCCCTTCCCCGGGCACTTCTTTCCCGGGAAATTACCCTGAGCCTCAATTTTAATCCAGGTTTAATAAAATGGGGGCCAAGAGGGAAAGCAATGATCAATCCAGGGCTCCACGATACCCTAGAGTAAACTCGAGTAGCGAATATATCGGTAAGACAAGCATGACACAATACACTACAACAATTGAAGACAAATAATTAGTGCAAATTGCAAAAAGGAAAAGAAAGCAGCCACACAGAATGCTAGTGACTTGTTGAATAAAATAGTTCAAAAGAACGGAGGAAAAGCAAAGGAAAAGGGAAAAATAGAGCCGGGATTTTGTACCCCTGGCACCCGCATGGAGTGCGCTCGATCCAGTCAAACATATTGGGACTTGAGCCTGTATCCCATATAGGGCTCGATCATATCGAGTAGACTCTCTCTCTCTCTCAGTTTACCTTGCCGGTGGGATGGGATGGGAGGAGCCGGGTTGTTTCACAGCTAATGTAATCCGACCAGACGGGCGCTGGGTGTGAACCCGCAAAGCAACAAGAAAAAACTACTGGTGTCCTGAGTTGTGAATACCAGAACCCAATTCCAAATAAAAAATAAAGGCACACGAAAGGGAAAGAACAAGTATCATACTATACTTATATCCACTGGTACAGCCCAGATAAGCACTTTTGAAAGGAAACACATCCAATCACTCTTTTTTCGCCTTTACTTTCAGACAGGACTTTGAACTGCCAAAAAAAAGCGAATCCTATCCCTGCCCGCTAGTGAGCAACTCCTGCTTTCCGCCCACCCCACGGCGTCCGGGCCAAGCCGAGCCCACGAGCAAAGCCCTGAATGGCAGGTGACACACCCAGGTGAGTCCCAAGCAACGAGAAGAAAGAGATACTACCGACGGGACGGTTATCGGCAGTGGATGCCTCAGGAATATAGAGTTTTTCGATTGGCCCGCCGGAGGGTTGGAGGGTGCGGCGGTTAGGAGGCTCATTAACGGCTATTTAACCTACCGTTAAATACGGAAGGTTGATGTCTTTGGGTATCTGCATGAAGGGACCCGGAAAGTCTATTCATCCAGTAGAAGAGTGAACAAATGAATGGAAACGATGGTAATACAAAAGCTTTCCAAGCCCGGGTGTACGAGAGTTCGGATGGTATCCTACGGGTGGTAGAGCTAGTAACTAGTGATAACAACCGCTGTGAGCGGGAGGTGATATATAATAATTGCAGTGGTCGTGTATCCTATTACCTGCTGTGAAGAATATTGAGAGGCATTCCCTATAATATGGAACTCAGAAGCACAGGTATTATAAAGCGTTAATCACAGATCACAACACCGTTTTTGGCACAACGCACACTAACGGCGTACAGCGCCGCTTACTGCCCGCCTCGTGCCCCGACTAAAGACTCTTTCGGCCGGCGGTTCCATTGCCTTAACCTTTTAGGCTGATTTTCTAACAAAGTACCGATTGCCTCCCGGTTAACTTGGCAATGACCAAGTCGGAAGGGCGAGAAACACACCCCGCCGATCCCGAGCGTCCGTCCCTTTCGAAAATTCCCCCAAGGGAAGAACCAAGGAGGAAGAAAAATGAAATTATATAGCCGAGCATATGCAATAACTTATATATATATAATTAATCATCGGAAAGTCCTCGGTTAGTTCTTGCCCCCGAAGGTAAGCACAGTAAAGTATACGAAGGGCTGAATATTTTCCTACTGCGCGACTTCTGTGTTCAACACGCGGCGTTGATCACGGCAGTATGGGCACCGCTCAGGGTGGAGGGGTGTTGACCCCTCCCTGGCCCCGCTCGCCTGCCCTGCTCTGTCCGTCTGCCGTCTGCACTGATTACCTCTGGCATATTTAGGGATATCGGAAATATCCAACACGTTCAAAGGGCACATTCTGTCCAACGCCCACACCGTGTATCTCACGTATTATGATTTTGCCCTACTTAAAACGGCCCCCCACCGTTACCATTGTACATCTCAGGTAACACCTCCCCACATTCAGCGTTCTCATACACGAAGGACACGGCATATTTCTTCGGGATTTTTTTTCTTTTCCAAGTGCTCTGATTTGAGGATTTTCCCGTTTTGGAGGAAGCTGCAGGCTTACCAGCAGGATCCTGTGGACACTGTAAGATTTGGGTAGTTTTTGCTTTTCTCGTGATGAACCCAATTCTCCGTCGGTTGACAAGGGCCAGGGGAATTCTCCTCAGGCCCTCCCCCATCCCCGGTAAGAATGTTGCGAGTTTTCTTGTTAACTTAGGTCGGTTGCTAGAGTCAAAGCCCCTGGGAGAAAAACGTGAAGGGCGGATGATCATTTCTCCTTTCCCCTGAACTGAGAGAGATGTCCGGGCAGGTGTCGTTTCCAATAACACTATTGGTTATTAATTTATGACTTGCCAGTTGAAAGTCAAAGAAAGGAATCAATACGAGGGAGAATGTTACCAGTGCTGTTGGATTACTATCCAAGACCCTTTCGGCGAACCTTTCGCGACTTGTACTTGACACAAGAAATTCGAATATTTTCTATACTTAAACGTGAACATCTCAATTGGCCACATTGGGGATGTCATAATTGTGCTTCCGCAACTTAATGCTTCAGATCTTAGTACCGCACCGCAGAGCACAGCCCTGCGCCCGGCGAAAGCTGAGTGGGAAAAGAAGGATGAATAAACTCCTGAAAGCAATCTGGGTCGCGCAAATATGACGGCGAAGTGTATAGATCCCCTAGTTTCGCTACACAACGTCGTGATTGCGGTTACCTTTGGGGAGCTGGGCAGGGGGTGTTGCGGGATCTGCTCCACTACAGGGGGAGGGCTCGGAGGGTGGAACCGTATGGGATGGCTAAGGCTCCGTGCTCGCATGAGAGCTTCCCTTACCTAGAGGAATGAGTAAAAAGTAATACGAGGGAACCACAAGATGCCTTTGGGAGTACGAGTACCAGTAGTACCACTAATGAACACATCTGTCAGAGAAACCGAGAAAAGCGTGGGCACCCAACCGGAAACTTGAGCTATGCTCCTCTGCAATGCCCAATACCACCAAACGCTCGGGGTTAAACATAGCACACGATCGCACAAACAAAGCAGTGTTGCAAACGTCGGCCTCAGACCAGAGAAACAATTCTTCTCAAATTTAGGGATGGAAATAAAAAGAAAGCTGACTGAGCGACTGAGCCAGGCCTTTTATAACCAAACACAGTTATCATCGGTGGTGGAGTTCAGCATCTTGCCACCAAGTCCGAGTGCTTCGCCCAGCCCAAGGGCCAGCTTAGCGCCCGGCGGAGGCGGTCCGAACGCCCAAAGGCAAACACAGTGGTGCCAAGCGCCAACTGGCGCTCTCCACCCTCGGAGCCAAACTAACTCCATTAGTATGAAATAGTAACTTAGCCGTTAGTCAAACTAACTCAGGGGTAACTTGGCAATTGACCTTGAGCGACATGGGGCCGGCTAAGTCATAACCCAACTAAAGTGTGTTCTCCCTATTCCAAAAGTATCCGGAAATCTTGGCACAGTTCAGGCCCAGGAAACGCCAAGATTTCCGAATACTTTTGGAACGGGCAAGCGCAGACTAAGCCCTCCAATGTTGATCCGAAACACCTTGTCAATATCACCACAGAAAACGGGTTCGACACGACTACAATATAACAAAGAGATCTCTTGAATAGACCCTATTTCACACAGTCAGATGTCTGGAACAATGCCTATCAGGGTTGATCTTAGTCAAGAAGGCTAAAAACATCCAGGTTATGCCATGTTACTCGGGCCCCCAACGTTGCTCTATACTTCGAAGTAGTAGATCTTTCCCAACCCTTCATGCGATATAACTCGAGTTCAGTTATGTCGTAGCGTATGAACCAGTATATAAATTTCAAATAGCCTCAGGATAATAAAGTGGTAACAAAATAATTCGCTCTGTATCGCCCGGGAGAGCTCTTTCTAGCAAAGGACTCCATATCCTTCTACCTCCTACAATCATGACCGGACGTGCAGTATTTTCCATCCTTTCTCTCCTCCCATTGCTCGCATCAGGATTCAACATCCCAGCTATAGGTGTTCCGGTGACTCGCTCTCAGCAACACAGACTACATTCCCATAACGAAGCAGAGTCTGTTTCCACCACGGAATGGGGGGCGGAGTGCATATCGCGAGTTGTTCCCATCACTTTGGAACAGACCAGCGATAGGACGTATAGTAGTGATGGCGATGCATACGACATCGGCCTTTTCCATGCTCTCGCAAAGAAGAAGATCCTGGTGACCGGGACGTACGAAATTAATACTCGTCTCTGCACCCCAAGCTCCAAGCATCAGGTTTCCGGTCGACGCGCGGACACTATTCAATTTCTTATTCATGGTGCTACGTATAATTCCATAATGTGGTATGTGCATTCACCCCTCCTTATCATAACCTATCCCGTCCTATCGAACCCCTTCCCCCCCTCCTCTTATCCTTATCCTTATCCATGCATTACTCAGCTAATAGCTGTAACCCCCATGCATAGGGACTGGCCGCTTGAAAGTGAAACATACAGCTGGACCAGAAAAATGAACGAGGAAGGGTGGGCTACGTTTACCTGGGATCTAATTGGTATTGTTTTCTCATCTTCCCGGATACGGATACGTGCTGCTAGTGAAAATTACTAACCAGGAGTCCGCAGGAGCCGGCAATAGTACTCGCCCGGACGGTCTAGTCGAAGCGCAAGTGCAGAGCCACGTAGAAACCGCTCACCAGATTATCCAGCAGCTCAGATCCGGGATTATCGGGGGCAAGAAATGGGGACACGTTGTTTCGGCCGGCTTCTCTATCGGCAGTGCGACCTTGAACTCGCTCGTGGACCAGTATCCAGAAGACGCCGATGCCATAATTCTCTACGGTTTTACCCACAATGCTCTCTGGGTATACCCAGGCTTCCTCGCTGGCCTTCAAGCCTCCGCTAATCAAATTGACCCGGAGAAATGGGGTGACATCCCATCCACGTACCAATCCACCTCGACTTTGGAATCGCGGGTGGTCGCCTGCTACGCAGGCAAGTATGACCATGAGCAATTGGTGTATGACCACGAACACCGAGACTTCGACTCTTTGGGTGCCGCCATCACGCTTGTATTGCACATGCTTGACGCCCCACAGTACAAGGGTCATGTTATGGTTGCGAACGGAGATGGTAAGTCTACTCGCCATCCCTCCACCCCCCCCCCCCTCCTCCTCCATTTCCCTTTCCCTAGTGTGTTCCATGGCTTTGGCAACCATCCGGTCTTTCATCTTTGAAACGGGTGTTTACTTACTCCATTTATTCTACCAGAGGATGCTACTTTCTGTGGTCTTCATTGCGGGGACAGCCCTGCCCTTGTCTACGATTACATCCCTAAGGCTGCCAGCTACGATATCAAGGTTTACCCGAAGACTGGCCATCAAGTACTATTCCACCACTCAGGTCCTCAGTTCATGCAAGATGCCATCAGGTTCTTGGCAAAGAGTGGTTTTTAGGCTACACCAGCCACAAGCAAGCGCCAGTGACACCTAAACTGTGTTACCATAATCGCTTAGTGGATACCGGAATTACCACCTGGAAACTAGGCGAACTTTTGAAGGTTTTTTTTTCTATGTAGCCAGGAAAAAAAATTTGTCAACCTGTGGTACAAAGGCCGAGGGAGTATGTATGAAAGATGCTTTATTCGGCTTTCTTGTTTCTCAGCGGTAGTGTTTTGCTCTCTCTTTTTGTTCTACGATCGGTTAGGGCGTTCCATAATCAGGGTGTAAGTGATTTCACGATCCCGTCCCTGTTGTAGCGAGTGAGAAGTTGTGATCATGATCTGAACTTCTCTTGGCCACAAATCGGACAGGTAGCGAGTTTCAGGAAAATTGCCATTCCAGCACTCTCTCCTATCCCAACAGCTAGACGTGAAATTACAATGCAGTGTCCACGATAGGTTTTTTCCACCCCCCTTGCATCCCGAACACTATTTCCTACCCCCAAGCCCCATCACAGAAAAATGCCGCGAATTGATCACATGGTTTTTCGCATCCCAACAAGAGCCGTGCTCTCGGCGGTAAAAACCCTAACCCTTCAGCCTTCAAAGTTCTTGCTTGTGGGGGCCCTATCCACCCGTCATCTTCCCAGCGACACCCCCCACATACTCATCCCCCCTCCCGCTCCTCAGGCAAGCCTTACGGTGAAATGGTCCCCGATTACCCTCACGCTACGGATCTAAAAGCTAGTGCCCGGCTTTTTCGTTCCGGGGAGGATTACAAAACAAGACTTGCCTCCCACTCCGCCCTCGCCCGAACCCATTTAAAGAAAGCCGTTGACGATTTGAAAATCTTTGAAGTCCTCTGCTATCAGGGCGGCCCAAAACAAGGTTTAACCCCTACAAGCCAAAAAGCTTCTTTCTTCCGACATTGAAAATCCGTTCCCCTCACACATCCATCTTCCCTTCTTCTACCGACAGTAAGGTCGGCACCTCCCGCTTCTTATTTTCGCACAATGTACGCTATATCCGCTGCGGAATTTGTGTCGTTTTTCGGTCTTTCCATTCCTTTTTGCTCACCTTCCCCTTTCCCAGAGATCCTCCGGCTGGTAGCCGGCTTCCCGTTCAATGAGCCTTTCATGCGCGTTGTTTCAGCTGATAAAACCAAAATAATTGATGAAAATCTACATGCTATCGCGCAAGCGTTGTACCTCAGGATATCCCCTCCCTGTGGCGACCCCCCCCCCCCCCCCCGGAACTTTTCACAAATACATTCACGCACAGCTAGCCGCCTATCGCGTTGTATTGTCATTATCATTAACACTTTGCTTTCCAATCCGCAGGAGCGGCGGTAAATAGGTTAGCCCAAGACTCAACCCAAGTTCTCCAGCATTCGCATATCCGTAGGGCTTGATCTGAGCGCGCACAAAATCCGAATTCTTCTTTCCTGCCGTTACGGGGTGGAACAGGAAAGGCAAGGTAAGGCAAGACCAGGCAAAAAAAAAAAAAAGAACAAAAGAGGAAATAATTCTAGCTCCCCCTCCCTCCTTCTCCTACTCTCCCAAAACGCCCCGCTGGAGTTCCCTCGTCTCCTTCTAATCTTATTTGCTCTCCCGCGAAATTTTCCACCCCCCATTAATCCTGCAATTCGGTTTTGGATTAGCTCAAGGGCAACACGTCGCTCCCGGCCCGCAACCGGTAAAGCCGTGCTTATACTAGCCTTGATTTTATCGGGCAACTATTTAGGAAAGTGTAGTCAAGCAGATGGGTCGAATTGGAGTTTTTCTACAGTTGTAATGAGACAAATTATTGGGGAAGATTCACATTCGGAATAGGCAATTCGAGCTAGCCGAAGAATATGACTTGGAGATCTCTACGTGGAGAAGAAAAGGAAAAATGAATGAAAGAAAGTGAAGAAAATGACCTCTGAGAAAGAGATATATAAAATTGGGCGGGTAAAGCTCGAGTAAGGGAGAAGGATAATACCGTGAAGTGGGGGCGGGTGCAAGTGGTAAAATTCCCAGAAGGTTGAAATCAGGCCAGTGTGGCTGTGATGGAGATACGAATACAGAACAGTACCGGTACCGGTATGTCATTGTGGAACAGGCACAATAGAAGCCAATCTTGGCGTTTGAACCATGTCTTGATCCTTACTGTGTATCAAATTCTATTGTGCTCCTCATCCCCCCCCCCCACCTCTTCACTTCCCTTTCCTCGCCGATGCCTCGCCTCTTCATTTCCCATTCTGCAACATATTACATCACAGAAGCTCGCGCGAGCTATTCCGAAGAGGGAGAAGGCTTTGTTTAGGCTTCACCTTCCCTCCTTCCTTCCACCAGAGCCGTTCAACCTGCACGGCTCAGCCTGGCTTGGCTGCCCTCGATCATCTCCTAACAGCAAACAAGACGGGAACAGCGCTGGCAAGTAAGTCGAGGACGAAAGAAGAGAGAAAAAACCCCACCCACCGGCATGCCCGAGGTGGCCATGATACAAGTACATGAGACACGGCCCCAAATGTCGCACCGACTAGAGATCTTTGACACTGAGATATCGAGTGTGAGGTACGGATAAAGGTGTACGGCGAAGCTACACCTCAAAGGGCCGGAATTCGCAAAGAATCCGGACAACTCGGCCCTGCTTAATTCCTATCTTGGAGTTAAGGCGTCCGGATAGTCTACGAATCGGCAGTTACTCGAACACCGGTAAGGAAGACGACATATCTCTTGGCCCTACACGATCAGCCGGGCGGGCAACGGGATGCACGGCAGAGTATTTGAAAGTGTAGGAGGGGGCGGACAACTAGCAGGCACAAGACGTAAACAAGCACCCGCATACTTTTGGGGGTTGGTAAAATCAATCAATCAAGGGCACAATGAGACAGGTAATTGAGATATAATATATCTACGTGCGATTCCAGTTTTGCCAGTTTCCGAGCGGATGCGTCAGAAACGAATCACCATCCAACTGGACAACCGGTAAGTGTGTCTCGCACAAAAGTGTGTAAACCTCACTCAAGTAACTTCAGCCCCAACTTTAACGCCCCACAAACAGCCCTGGCAAAGCCTACCTTACAAGTCCATAACCAATAGGCAAACGGAAAAAGCACTCAATCCCTAAAACTCGCAACTCCCGAACAACCCTCTCCAGAAGTATGATATATTATCCAGCATGCCACCAAACTTCACATGGAAAATGACCCTGAGAAAAACCCCAAGTTGATTGACCAAGATCGCTTAAAGGCAACAGAATAAACCTTGTCCAATCATTAGCCGAGAGAGCCATTCACTTATCTACCTATATCCGAGCAAGCACAGTCGAAGGATGTGCTGCAAGCCTTCTCTAAGCCGAGTACTTGTACATGAAAACAGGGCAGCTCACAGAATTCCATGCTCACCACCACCATCATCAATACCGCCAACACCACCAGCAGCAGCAACAAAAAAATTTCTTACCCCGATAGCCGATTAGTCGGCTGACCAAAAGAGAGCAAGGCCTATCTTCCAGGGCGTTTAGGTCCCGGCAAAATAAAAATTAAAAATTAAAAAAAATTATTATTCTTCAGTCTTCTCACACATGCGACCCCACCCTCCCCCTCCCCCTCCCTCTCTACACATTACGATCTACCCTATACAAGTAGTTCTACTCGCGGCAAGCACCACACTAAGCCATATTTACGATAGTTGTATTTCAAACCGATTCGTGAGCAATTTCAATAGTATACACCCATCTGAATCGAGAAACGCACACGTACATATACAGTATCGTGCAGCGAGTAGATTTGTAGGATTTCGCTTTTTCTCCCCCTACAGGTAGAGAGAGAGAGAAAGAGTACTTGGTACCTTTATCATCGGATATGCGCTTCCGCTTCCGCTAAAATGGATGAGGAAAGTCAAGTTCTATACCTACCCATAGTACAGTAAAGTACGGTACAGCACCAACCTACCTGCACGTCTACCACCTTCTTACCGGCTGAGACATTCAAAGAACGGAATGAACAAGCAGCTCGATACAAGGACCTCACAGCACAATCCATTATGGTAACCGATTGCGTAACGGGTACTGAACAGCGCCTCGCTCAAAAGAAGCTTCTCGTTAACCGGTCCACCACCAGCCCTACAAGGCGAGCAAGTCAAGCAAGACAAGCCAAGGAAACCCCCCCCCTCCCCCCGCAAAAAAAAAAGACGAAAAAAAAACGGAAAAAAAAAGTCAGCATCCGCTGTGAGTGCATGCTCCGGGACAAAACCGTGATAGCCCATACCAGAGAGAGAGGGAGGGAGAGACAGAGAGAGAGACAGCAGTGACCGAGAACTCCCGTACTGTACCACCATTGTACGACATGGATGATTTGTAAGGTGGCATTCTCGCTACCGGTATTTGGCTCGCTTTGCCGTAGGATACCGTACTCTATTCGTAAGTGGAAGCACCTCTGCGGCGGACTTGTCTAACTTGACTGCTTATTTTTCCCAATTTCGGCGAACCCTTGGTGTTTCCAAGCGAATAGTTTTATACATGAGTGATAGGTTGTGAATGGGGGGGGTTTTTTTTTCGAGGGGGGGGGTAAATTGATTTTTATTTCCTTTTCCCTTCTTCCCCTTCTCCTCTACCCTTTAGCGAGTCTGTTTGGGGGAGGGAGAGAAAGAGAGAGGGGGAGAGAAGGAGATCTCCGTATTTTTTTTTGGAGGGAATAGTCTGTATTCCTAAAGGTTTCGATCCGGTGTGCGCCACATACCCCTCCTAGTGTCACTTCACCTCGCCTCACTGCCCATTATCCCCGGGGACCGGCTGAAGGTTCGGCCATTACCTCGTGGGCGTGCTCCTGATGTTGGCCTTTCTCCCCCCAGATGTCGGCCACTCTTCGGGGACGGGTGATTACCGGTGATGCTAGCCCATTTCCGATAACCCAGTTATTATCGATGGGGGATTCGTGGGGGGTAGAATGCTCCAGCGTCAAGTGGTATTACCACCCGTAGCTACCGAGCATCACAGAACGTGCTCTAGCTTCCCGCCGTGGTTTGCGAATCTCTCAAAGAGATTCTCTGATTCTGATTCTACGATTTTTTAGTTTTTTTTTTCTTTTCTCTCTTTCCCCCCTGCTACTGTAGAGATGGGATGAACCAAAAAATCCTTATCGGGTTTAGTTCCAGGAGGCATGATATCGCATTTCCTCGATCGGGGGTTTCCCACCATTTCTGAGGGAGGATATCGTGGCTTTTTTTGGATCAATCGATCGTGAAAATCTCACACTTAGCCTATCTTTCCGCTCCCGCAGGGTGGGATTTACGAAGTAAAGAGACGTGCGAATTTGATAAACTATACCTTACTAGTACTAGGTCAACGGACGATCATTTTCTCTTTCTCTCTCCCTCTAGCGGTAGAGGCGCGCTCGTAAAGCGGCATAGTAATCCACCTGCGGACGACCCCCAAAGTTAAATATCCGGCACGGTTGCCCAGGCGAGATTTGACGCGTCGGCATCCCGGCCGCCACCACTACGATACCACCACCTTAACGGGAGTGGAACTGCCGCAGAGGGATCACTAACCCCCACCACCAAACCGGTATCATACCCCACAAATTCTGGACAAGTACTTTTACTACAGTAGTACAGTACGGTACGGTACCCTCCCCGCAACAGCAATCCCCTCACCTTTCCCTTGTGAACCGCCTCAAACGTGCCCCCCCCTCCATTCCTTTACTCGTAGAGCCATCTCGGACCACTCATCCGAAAATTAAAGAAAGAATTAGAAGAAATCATTATTAAAATTTTCACCCGTTCCCCACGGGAGCATCCGGGGGCCAAATCCCCGGGTCCAACAATTTCACCCCTCACATCTCCCCCATCACGCTCCTCTCCTCCGCATCTGATTGCAAGAACTCTCCGTATTATATCATATAATGTCGTGCATGAAGGCTCAAGCTTTAATGGGATGCATGCACTCATGACTTGCTTTTCGCCGCCGGATAGATTGATAGATAGATAGATAGATAGCTATCTATCTATCTGTCTGACGCGGGCTGGCTGGGGGAAACTGCCGGAACGTGCGATCCCGATTTTTGGCGGACCACTATTCGCGTTTTGTGTTTTGTGTTTTTTGTTTTTTTTCAGGTGGGGGGATTTGGTGGCTGGGTGTGGTATGGTATGATGGGTGGTGGTGGTGGTGGGTGATTGTGGTATCAGAGGTTTACAGTATACTCCGGGTGGTCGGCCGGAGGGCTTCGGTGGGTGGTCTGGTGTGAAGAATGGGGGACATAGTGAGGAGCTCAATGGGGAGGTCCGAACGGTACGCTTGCACCCGGACCGGTGAAGTATTGTGAGCGAAAAAGAAAAAAAAAAGGGAGAGAGTAGATAGAGGGTTGGTGAGTGAAAGGGGAATACAGAACAGCATCATAATGCGAGACTACTATTATGATAATGACATTGGGAGACTTTCAATACAGTGAGTAGCCCGGCAGCACGTTCCTATTAAAACTAAACTAGACTAGGCTACCCGGACCTGGCTCCCATATTATTTCAAAAGTACCCAGACAGCCCCCAACGCTCTCGCCAAAAGAACGAACCCTTGGCGAGAAGGGTGTCCTGACACCATTTCGAATTTCGAAAAGAGCACTTGTCCCACCGCCTGCTGAGTGAGTGCGTGAGGGGAAAAATAAAATAAAAATAAACAGGACTTTGGTCAAGGGGGTAGGCTTCCCTAGTGTGGACTACCGTGAAATATTTGTAGAGAATAGTAGGTCGGTTACAGTACCCGGGCTAATAAATCAGGACTATGATACTACTGCAGTACCAGCACCACAACCCCAAGTCAAGTAAATATCATAATCCACGACCTCCATCGTCACCACCACCACCGCCACGACAGCGACACCAACTCTCTTCCCCTTCCTATGATAGGATACCCCACATCCTGCCCAGGCGAAACGAAACTTATAATTGACAAGAAGAAGAAAAAAAACCAAAACCCAACCTGAAAAAAAAGACGGGAAAAAGCCCAGTCAATAACAAAATCCTTCCATGTGAAGATGAGTGACAAACTCACAGTGACCCTATGGCCGAAAGCACAAGAGCGCAGTAAACAACTCACCATTCCGGAAGTCCCATTCCCCGCCCTCCCCCCCACCCAGTTCCCACCTAGTAGGACCGGTCGGTGATGGTGACACAGGCAGCCTACTTGAAATGCGATAATCGCGGTTAGGGTGGTTTCTGTTTATTTATGCACTTTATCCTCTTTATCTTCCTTCTTTTTTTTTTTTTTCTCCTTTTATCATCATACAGGCCTTTGTGTGATAACCACCCCCCCACCACTGATCCGTTTGCTGTTTTTGTTCGGTGGATCGCACGTTGGCGAGTGCGAAGGGATCGGGGGCTTTTGATGGTCACCCTCCATTCCTCCTTGTGGTGATTTGATTTGGTTTGATTGACGGATTTACGGATCGGTTTATTGATTGATTGGAAGGGAAGGAGGGGTTGGGCATAGATAGCCCCCATTTTACTTGCCTAGAGTGATAGAAAAAAATATGCAGGTGGAAACAGTGCAATTGGTATTGAGGGCCATGCGTGATAGTTGATGCTCCCCCTCCCCTCCCCAGACTCTCCTCCCAATTCCTATCCCCCCTTCTTTTTTTTATTTTCCTCAATATTTAGGATGGATGGGGAGAGCGAGGGACGAATGGAGAGTGAGTGGGGGGATGATCTGAGAATCAGAGGAAGTATGCATGCTGAATGGTAGATAGTGTGATGCCAAATCGGTTTGATGGCGCTGGTAGTACTGTATTCTATTCACTGCACTGTAGACCCTTATACTAGAACACTATACACCGTCTATACCACTGCACGCCTGTGCACCGTACCGAAATTCCCATAACCATATCAGAGGATAAAACACAGGAGAAAGAAAAAAGCAACTTACAACGGTACCAAACATTGACCACTGCATGATACAGTACGGCAGGAATTCACACCAGGGTAACGTCACTCCTGCGTAAATGTACACAAGGGTAACATCAAAATTGGAGAAGAAGAAGAGAAAACGAGAAGAAAAAAGTGGAGAAAACCGTTTTGCACATCACCTCCACAAAATGAATCTTGCACCCACCCCCCCCCCCCCCCTCCTACACCACACACACCTCCCTCCCTTCAATCCCTCCCACGAGCCCTTCAGAATCAGTCTCGACTCCTGCATCAAACCCGCCTCTTCCCAATCCATATACGCACCAATCTACAACGTCTAGCCAAATATGTCGTAAACTCACAGTATCACACTGACCCAAGCCAGCCCATGCACAGGATTGAATCGAGGGAAAGCCACGAAACCCCCACGGCCCAGCCAGCCTCCCCCGAAAAGCCCACTGCCACTAAGAAAAAATCCTGTACGGTACTAGTAGTACTAGGAAAGTAACGAGCACGTCAAGTGTTTCCCTCCCACGGTTCATGATCCACGCAAGGATCGACTTGTGCGACACTGTCCCTCCCCCCCCCCTTCTCCTCCTATACGAGTACTTGTACTTATGCTTCGTATTCCATCTGTCGAAACCTTGCCCATGTATATAGTACTTCCGCCAACATCTGATATCGCCGAGTCTACTTGTACAGGACACCCTCGCTCCAATTCTTTACCCGAGAGAGGGAGGGAGGGAGAGGGTAAGTGATGCACACTCACATCCCCTAATAACCCAACGGCTACTCTGGCCGTCGTTGGCGGAAGGGGAGTGAATATCATACGTGTAAAACCCGGGGTCAGTTTTTTTTTTCACATGGGAGCGGAAAGTATCGTAGGTTTGCCGGGGTATGATATATGGTAGTTCTCCCTTTTCTGGTCGGGGGGTTTTTTTTTCTAAAAAAAAAAAGCGGGGAAAGTATGAAATGAGAAATAACGCAGGTATGTAACTAGCCTGGCCATGTACTAGTACCGTACGGTATGAGAAGTGATCAAAGTAGATGTTCGGTTTGGTTTCCTTTCCATTGGGGTGGAGTGGAGTCGAGGGTCATGTCTGATATACAATACGGTACTTGAAGGAAGATATAGGGGGGGGAAGGGACCCCCTTAGCCCTGTCCTGCCCTGCGTAAATTACGACGGGTTGGTGCCATATACCGGTATAATACTTGAATTACTTGCGGTGCCATCATATGCTGCAAACTCGTTCGCTAGAAGCTACTAGCGAGTGCTGTACCGGGGGGGAGCGAAGTATTCTCACTCGTTTAGACTACTGCACTATGCTCTACCGGTACCGTACTATACAGTAGACTATCCAATGGGGAAACGAAACGTAGACTTAATCACCCAAAACAAAATAAGGTCGCGCCAAACCAAAATAGTAATGATAGTAAAAACACAAACAAGTGAACGATACTGCTGATTAGATGACTAAACAGAGCAGAGTACCGGTAGAACAAGTCAAGTAAGTTAGACCGTATTGAGCGCTATTCAAAATATTATATCCAGTAGCATTTCTATATTAAAGTAACCAGAACAAGATAATTAAGAAACTAGAAAAGGCCCATTAGGTCACGGCATAACCGCCCACCACTATGCTAGATGCAGGCGAGCCCACAATACGCCATTTCCACCAGCGTCATCACCACCAAGAGATAATCTCTCCCTTCTTATCTACTCTTACTCAGTCACTCATCAGTACCGTACCATAGCCAACCGGCCAAAAACAGCCACTGCTGCAGGAGCTATACAAGGCTAGTTAGTGCATCACGGAGGCCGATACAAGTATAATAATAATCAGGCGGGCAAGCACGCAATAGAAAAGGAAAGAAACAAAGAAACCGCCTGCAATCACTAGGGACGTGCATTCCTTCCTTCCTTCTTCCTGCGCATCATGTCAGTCAGGGTTCAATTAAGTAAATCAGCGCAGAGCGAGGTCAGGTCCTTTTAGTCCAACGAACGTAGCCCATGCAACAGCTTGAAAAAGAGCTTCGTACCGGGTGTTCATGGGCATCGGTAATCGCTCTTTGGTTTTGATCCCCCCCTCTCCGTCCATCTTTCGCCCCAAGAATTTCCCGATACCAAATATTTTACCTTATCCTATCGAAAGAAAAAGGATTCAATTTCAATCTAGACTCGATCCAACCTCGCCGCTAGGCAATCCACTAACTCGCCCATGCACTGACAAAGCCGCGGACGCATTGTATTATCAGTAGAAGTAGTAGTGGATCTTCAAATTCAACCACTCGATTGCAAAAACAGGCATAATCATGAAAAGCTAAACTCGTTCCGCTCCTTCCGTTTTCTCCCAAACAGCCCATCCGTCCCCCTTGCGAAATGTAAGGATAAAGAAGGAAAAATTTAGCCAGACAAAAAAAACCTTCTCAACGACGCCTCTATTGCTTCCCCTCCCCTTAAAAAATCAGGACTAAGGTAAGACAAGCAGGGGAAAAAGATAGCCTAAGGAGAACAGGAGATGGGGAATAAATGAGGAAAAAAAGGGGAAGATAAAATGCCCCCGCCAAGCAAAGATTTTGTCACCCCCAATGCAATGCAATATTTACATAGCCAAACCACAAGACGGAAGAAAAATAGAACCCTCCAAAATTTTACCCATGACCACGATCAGACCCGTGCCGTATATACAACCGGAGGTGAGGCTTCGGAAGGAACTGAAATCAGCAATGTGGAACGAAACAAGAAAATGTACGTATGCCCCGTTTGAGTAGAAAAGGATATGAAAAAAATGAAAAAAAAGAACAAGGAAACTCGATAAAATGTCAAAAAAAAAACCCGTTATGAGCCAGATAAGCAACCCATCAACACTTAAAACTCCTAAAAAAATCGGCAAATAAAGAAAACAAAAACGGGGGGGGGGAACCCCGACAGTGTAGTGAGAGAAAGCGTGAGGGAATTGGCCCTCGCTGGTTGGCAAGGCAAAAATTTTAATTTATTTATCTTTTGATATCCCTAGGGAGACCCCGAGGGTCATTACTCCTTTTTTTTCTTTCTTTCTTTCCTTTTTCTGGGGGTCGGGAGATGAAGGCGATTTTGGTCTCTCTTGTGGAAGGGTGTGTGCTCGTGTTTAACAAAGATCTTGTAGCACATCTAAAGCACATGTCGTCAGCTTTCAGCCCTGACACACCCCTGGCGTAGCATTGTGGGAGAGCCGACTAACCATCGAGAGCAAGGGAGCCACACAGATAGTCATTCCCGTTCGGAACACCATTGACCGGCTGCGATTCTTGAATCACCGAATGACCGTTGGCCTTCAATGTCTTCATGATTGTGTCGAGCGAGCTCAATGTTCGCGAATCGTTGCTCTTGCAGACAATGACAACCCTCGCACCCGGCGATTCAGGTGCTGTCTTTTGTGAGAGGAGCTGCGAGGTCTGGAGGCTGTAAAAGTCCATATTGTCCAAATTTGGAACCCGTTGCATGGGTGGTGGGGCCAATGATCCGCTTCTGCTGCTGCTGGAGCCAATTAGATGAAAGTGTTTCGGATGATTTGCGGAATGATTGGTTTACCTCGAGTATGATGATGACCCACTATCCAAGCCAACCGGGCTATCGGAAGAAAGCTCACTGGGGTGGGTGTCGGTGAGAAATCCGTGGGGGTGACCATTGTGGTGATGCTGAGAATGGTGATGCTGTTCGTGGTGTTGATGGTGGTGGTGAGTTCCGTTCTGAGGCACGATGGTATCAAACCAGCTCCAGTCGTTGGGGTCAAACTGCTGACCATTAGGGGGAGTGTGTTGCCGAACCTCGAAAGTGCGGCCAGTGCGATCAGCCTCGAAGTCAATGAAGGCATCAAGCGTGTGGTCCATATGAGTAGCCTGTCGGGGATCGATCGTAGCCGATGGAGGAGCAGAGTGTAGGCGGGAAGGATCGATATCCAGGCCATCGTAGTGAGTATCATGGGGGCTAATATTGCCAACCTCATGGAGGAATTCATCTACCATAGGGTCCGGCAGCGAGCCATAGGGGGTAGAGTATGATGACGAATCGTGGTGGAAGTCTCCCGAAGAAGCGATAGAAGAGACTGATGCCCGGTGAGTTGGATGTGATTGGTTGAACTGATACATCTCGGACAAATGTCAGTAGGGATGAATGAAGGATATTCAGGTTATGATTGGGAGCAGTGGTAGCGGTGGTGGTGATGGTATCGTGTATGGGCGAACGATTGATTGAGGTTTGTTCTTTGAGGGGGATGATAGTTCTTCTTATTCTTCCTCTGGATAGCCGAAGGAAGGTAGGAGATAGGTATGATGAGATTTGTCGAGTAGGGGGGGGGGGAGTGTATGTGCGAATGCAGAAGTTCTGGGGGCCAAAATAGAGAGGGGGGGGGGAGGTATGGTGTGCAGATAAATAGTGGGGGGGAAGGGGCAGAAGTATGGCCAGGGATTTATTTATTTTAAAAAAGAGTACACACCTCTTCAATCCACATGTTACTGCCCGTGGAGTTTAGATTCGTGTTTCGGTTTTGTAGTTCGTTCCACCGCCTCATGCATTCTGTTGATTGCGGAGTCAGTGCACTGAGTCGGCCGGACCCCACAAGAGCATGAGGGGCACAAAAAAAACATACCGTTGTCATTCCTGGTCATGACGACCTGGGCAACCGAGCTCCAACTGTGCAGTTACAGAGAAGGTTAGCAATCCACCTCTCGCCCATGTCCCGCGAAAACGAATCGACCTCCGGAAGAAGGCATGAATCCAGATAAATAATAGGGGGATGATGGATCGCGATAAATTGTTAAGAATAACGAGGGTAGAGGGAAAGGGCTGAAGCGAGTGAAAACGATTAAAGCGAGAAGCAAGAAAGCACAAGGAATGACCGGGGGCCATCCAATCCGCTTCTGCACCTCGATTCTCCCCCCTGCCACCAAAGGCATGCTTCTGCTGCTTCTGCTGCTGCTTCTCTGCTTCTCTCGCCTGGCCACGCTCCTGCCTTTGGTTCCTCGGAACCGCCATAGAACATTTGGCAAAGCAACGGGGAAAATCTACCACACCACCACCACCATCCCCGCAAAATGCAACCGCAGAGCCATCCATCCCGCCGCAAAGGGGGAAGAAGAAAAAGGGCCGAAAGGGTGGAGAGGAAATGGATAGATGTGGAAAGAGGAAGGCTTCTCGTGGACTTACTTCTTTCCGTACTTTTGGACAGCACCCGATAGCCTCTCGTCCTCCTCCGATTTCCATTCACATTTCCGCACCGCCTCCATCATTGTGTGATGCCACCGCTTCCGACATTCCTTCTTACTGCGCCGGGGCAAGGATGCTGCGATCGCATCCCATTTCACAGGCCGGCTCTGTTCTTTCTCTATTCCGTTTCCGATGGCTGTCAGCAAAGGAACGGTAACCCCCCAATGGGAGAACGAGGGAACGCTTAAAACATTATTCGTAATCCCCCGATTATTGTCCCTTTTACCATGCACGTACGCGCTCCCCCCTCCTCCTCTTCTGCTTCCTCTTTGCTTCTCGCCCGTGAGGCGCACCCGCGTACACATAACCCCTCCCGCCACCTTCTCCCAGTAACTAATTGCTACCGATGTACCAAAATGGGTATCATTCCTCTCTCCCTCCACCCAAGGAAAGCGAGTCGGAAAAAAAAAAAAAAAAAAAAAAAAAAAAAAAGGAATAAAATATGAGAGATGAGAAAACGGAACGGCATGCATACCTTGACAAACTGCGTCTCGTAGCTGCTTATCCTCTTCGGTGCTCCAAGGCCTTTCGGCATGGGGATCAAAAGTAGTCATCATGGTGGTGAGGATAATCTCTTGGTGCCGGTTCTCCTATGATGGGAGGGTTGATAGAGGGAATAAAAAAGAGTATGAGAGATGTTATGTTGCCCTCTTCGGGAGCTTTTCTTTCCTGTCCCGACGGCGGCGAAGCAAGCTACAGGCTATATATATATATATTTGCAGGTGGTTGGAGCTGGAGCAGGAAGATATATAGGGTAGCTGTCTATGATGGCAAGGCTAGCAGCAACAGCAGTCGAATAGAACTTGTTCCTCTCTCTATCACCACCGTGCCCGACAAAAAGGTGGAATTGTACAAGAAGTATGTCCGGACAATCGGCCAATGTTGAATGCCTATTCGTAAGCGTATCTGAGGAGTCGATGGAATATGGATGGCCGGGAAAGGGAAAGGGGACTACAGGAATCTAGAGGAGCTCGGAGATGGAAGTACGATATTTAAGTAAAAAGGTCGACAGTGATCGTACCCTGAACGGCTTTCTGGAAATGATTTTCGGGCTAAGGAGGAGGGGTGGGGGCTGGTATCTGAGGGTGTGATCGAGGGAGACCTTGGCTTGGAGGAGTATCGAGGGTCGGAGGAGAGGGGAGGTGTGTGTGCGGGATGGAAAGCGCCAAGAGATGTTGCTCCGACGACGATGACAGCGACCACACAACCCACGAATGAGCGGAGTACGGTAAGTGAGAGTTCGAAGGGTATGATAGTTTGCAGACAACGGCCAGGATGTCGATGGAGGGGGGGGGGGTCGCATGCACCACAACTAGCACTCGCGCAAGATGGGAGGGTCGCTCGCCCAAACAGGTGTATTGTATGTATTATAGCAAGCGGGGGGGGGGGGGGGTATGAAAAGGATTATGTGTATGTGTAAGGTTGGGTAGAAATTGAATGGTCAACCGGTACTCTACCATTTGGGTAATTACCGATCGGAGGCCCCTCGCATGGACCATCCCGGATGGCCCTTCCCCGAATCTCAGAACAACCGCCTCGAGGGGAGGAAGCAGCAACAAGAAACCCCTCCATCGAATTCAAGCCAGAAAAACAGTACCATTGACGAGACTGATCCCCCGAAAACCCAAACCGGTAAACAGAAGAGAATATCCTTTTCCGCCCTGGTTTGCTGTACTGTGCGAGTACCGTACCATTAGACCATCTGTTTCGGCCTTTCTTTTGAGCCCCCGTTTCGAAACCTTGATAATGGGTATGGGTATCTTTATTATTATTATTATTATTATTATTATTCTAGCCGGTTATTTGACAAGACCACACACCCCCCTCAGCCAGCCACCTGGGGCCTCGCCAAACCACCCCGCAAAAGCCACAATGGATTACTATGGAACTGTATGCCACCCAAAGTAGGCGACGACAGCCATGAACCCACCCGTACTCGTATCAGGCACTCGGCACATCTGTACCTGGACGACACAACATTTCGTGGCCCGAACAGAGAAAGCCTCCAACCAATCGCATCAAACTCCCATTCCCACTTCAACTCAACGGCAGGGTGCATCACAGTGCAAGCCTTCCTTCCTTCTTTCTTTTTTTTACCCTCCCGTTTCCACATCTAGTCTTACTCTACGAGATCCTTAGGTGTTGTCGTCCGTTAACTATGTAAGACTTCCGCAAGAAGATTAGCCCCCCCCCTCCCCCCGGCTGCAGGAACGTTGGGTTCGGATCCTTAGACCATCTTGGCATCATGAAAGCCTAGGCCGCAAAAACAAAAAAAAGCAGTTGCCATCAAACGGTACGGCACCAGAATACAGGTATCTGATAGCCCAGCCCTTGCCAAAGACCCAACTTTCCTTCTTCCCTCCAACCCACTCCCGTACAGTCAGCAACACAAAGGCGCCCGAAAGGGTGATCGCCATATCATGCAAAAAAAACAATAGCCTCCCTTCATCATCCATGTCCCATCGAATCCCCTACTCCTCCCCGACACTCCCGTACACACTATAGACCTTCAAGCTATCAAAACAAATGGGTGGGGTGATGCTTCACAAATCCGGCTACATCAATCGCCAGTCCAAACTTCCAAAAAAAAATTCGGTAGATAACGGGTGGATTCGAGAAAATTCGGAAACAATTTAAAATTAAATTAAATTAAATTAAGGGAAGAAGAAGAAGAAAAAACAACAACCTTCAGCCTCAAGCCGGACCCTTTCGTGATAACCGAGTTAAAGGGTCGTCTGGCTGGACTAGGCAATTGCCCATCACGTATTCCTCCTCCTCAGACGTCAAACAAATTCGTCAGTGGTGGCCCAGATTCTTCCCCCCCCCCCCCCGTTTCCAGCCGGAGGGAAGGGAGGGAGGGTCTGATTCGCCTATCTCACGTTACCACGCTTTGGAGTCCATTGTACAAGTACCCGCTGGCTGTGTCCAGATATCGTATCCACGGGCATGTTTCCGGGAGTCCCCGTATTACGCATAGCCCTTGATGGTGCTGGAGAAACAACGGGGAAGTCTACCTGTGGTGGGTACAGTACAGTACTGCTCCCCC